ATATCTACTCATGGAGACGTTAAGACATTGTTTTACAACTGTTTATCCGCACACACACACACACACACACATACACACTGTGTTTAAAGTGTTTAACGAAGGTAGATCAATATTTGTAAGTCTGAGGTCAAATTTTGATCACAACTCGTACAATTTTGTTTATTATACTTGTTAATATTTGTTTTATAAATCATGATTGGACAAAGCTTTTAAAAACTAAAGATGTTCCTTTTATATATAAACCTGTTATGTTAATTTCGATTAATTTCCCTGAAGAAGTTCGGACCAGATTGCCGAACGAAACGTTGGAATTACTCATTTCAATATCGCTGAGATTTTACAAATATAATTTTTTACAAATGTCTACTTCTCACTCGGCGCCCAAATATTATAGAACTATTCTGTCAAATCTTGACTACAGTTCATTTGATTTATTTTGTAATCGAATTAAATTGACAAAGAAACTATGTAATTGGCACAATCATCGTGTTTCCACTCTCCGTTGTCTGCAGCAGAATGCGTATCCTAAGTTCGTAGCTGTCCAGTCACCTGACAACTTCAGTAGGTCGAATAAAGCAGCTGAATTTTCAGAAAGAAGACAAAGTAATAAGTTTGACGGGGTTGTTCAACTAAACTCTAATCCTAAACACCATAATTTTGAAAATACGTCTAATCATAAAATTCTAGATACTAACAGTTTGAACAGACATGAAGGTGTGATGTTAGATGACGCATAGGAAATCCTGATTAATAAATAAGGATGGATATGTATCACTAACTAATAATACTTGGTCAAAGTTTCCCGACTGTCTATATCTACTCATGGAGACGTTAAGACATTGTTTTACAACTGTTTATCCGCACACACACACACACACACACATACACACTGTGTTTAAAGTGTTTAACGAAGGTAGATCAATATTTGTAAGTCTGAGGTCAAATTTTGATCACAACTCGTACAATTTTGTTTATTATACTTGTTAATATTTGTTTTATAAATCATGATTGGACAAAGCTTTTAAAAACTAAAGATGTTCCTTTTATATATAAACCTGTTATGTTAATTTCGATTAATTTCCCTGAAGAAGTTCGGACCAGATTGCCGAACGAAACGTTGGAATTACTCATTTCAATATCGCTGAGATTTTACAAATATAATTTTTTACAAATGTCTACTTCTCACTCGGCGCCCAAATATTATAGAACTATTCTGTCAAATCTTGACTACAGTTCATTTGATTTATTTTGTAATCGAATTAAATTGACAAAGAAACTATGTAATTGGCACAATCATCGTGTTTCCACTCTCCGTTGTCTGCAGCAGAATGCGTATCCTAAGTTCGTAGCTGTCCAGTCACCTGACAACTTCAGTAGGTCGAATAAAGCAGCTGAATTTTCAGAAAGAAGACAAAGTAATAAGTTTGACGGGGTTGTTCAACTAAACTCTAATCCTAAACACCATAATTTTGAAAATACGTCTAATCATAAAATTCTAGATACTAACAGTTTGAACAGACATGAAGGTGTGATGTTAGATGACGCATAGGAAATCCTGATTAATAAATAAGGATGGATATGTATCACTAACTAATAATACTTGGTCAAAGTTTCCCGACTGTCTATATCTACTCATGGAGACGTTAAGACATTGTTTTACAACTGTTTATCCGCACACACACACACACACACACATACACACTGTGTTTAAAGTGTTTAACGAAGGTAGATCAATATTTGTAAGTCTGAGGTCAAATTTTGATCACAACTCGTACAATTTTGTTTATTATACTTGTTAATATTTGTTTTATAAATCATGATTGGACAAAGCTTTTAAAAACTAAAGATGTTCCTTTTATATATAAACCTGTTATGTTAATTTCGATTAATTTCCCTGAAGAAGTTCGGACCAGATTGCCGAACGAAACGTTGCAATTACTCATTTCAATATCGCTGAGATTTTACAAATATAATTTTTTACAAATATTAGTAAGTAGTGTGAAGTTTTTTGATTATCAAACATGACTTTCTTCGATACTGATGTGCAGTAATTAAATTCCTATAATCGAAAATTACTTGCTGTATATGCTTTACTCATGTACCCGTTGATGTTGATAATTGATAATCCGTCTCTCCTTATTCTGTGTCTGACATTCGCATGCTGTTCAAATAACACGTTGACCGCCTTTCACAGCACTCTGATGTTTTTGCCATGTTTTGTGTTTAATATAGTACCCTATCTTAGACAAATCCGGTGTTTTCGGATTTTACGCATCACTCAGTGTGTGGTTTGAACGATTGTCTGAATTTCCTTGAAAGACGTTCACGAACTGTTAACATAAAAGCTGACTAGTATTTTCTATCCGTCTACCTTAGTGTTTTTTATTCGTTCCACTAATTGGAATAAATCTACAATTCTAGCTTTTGAATTGTCTCTTGTTGGTCTGAATGCTTTCAGAGAATTCTTGACAGCAAATACGTGGGCGTGTTTCTAAAATCTTATCGGATTCCCTTCTCCACTTAGATTTATCTTACTATATATCTTGGGTATTTTATATGAATTTGGCATAGTTTCAAACCATTTTGACTCACCAATTATCTCTTCCGTCTGTCTAACCACGTTTGCTGTTTCTTCCATCAGAAACAATCGCAGACAAAACTATGCGATTTATGAAATGCATTCCTAACAGGTTGCTGCACACTTTTATCAGCAGCTGCCTTCTCTGGCTTCACATTGAAGATCAGATGGTCAGCCGAAAAATATAAATAGCAAGAACCTCTGGAAAATAGGCAGTCAAGAACCTATTGCCCGAAAAATATGATGAATAAGTAGAGTGGATTGAACACATGCCGACGATTCCATCAAATAACATTGCAAGTCATGGTAGCTGTCGGCTGAATCCCGAACGGGAACGACAATTTTGGTGTGGGCCGATTGCACAGTACAGTGAGGAATGGAGGCGTTCCCATCAGAACCAAAGTGAATAATGATAGATAAGTTTCCACAAGTAAAAACACCTATTTTCCTAACTAACTTGCAATTATTGCTGATCATCTCCCTTCAGTACAAAACTAATATTACTTGCCAAGCCAGCTTATCACTCAGGTGTGTCTGCAGGCTTTCATATAACGTATGTATCATGTATCAGCATGATTTACAACTCAAAGATGACGATCGACTTTGAATGTGTAAAATCAAGGTGACTGTGCATTGAATCAAAAACACAAGTGGTATTCAGATCTAAAGAGGGTTAGTTCAAACGTCTGGTTTTACTGCTGAAATGTTTAGAAGGCCTATTATCCAAGAATAACTTTCCATGTATGAAGTATATCTAAAGTTTATTTGGTCTAGCAGAATGAGACATCGAAAATATTCGAATAAAAATTAAGGCTTTGCAGCTTAAACAGTGTATTGGAGTGGGAATAGAAATCTCTTCACCCACTTAGTTGCAAACACACTCAAATAATGAATCCTAAATGGTGAGAAACATAAAATTCTGATTTTCATCAGTGTTCTCAGAAAAATAACCTGCAGTGACAAACGTTTTTGTGGGGATTATCAAATATGAAAATGTTTATTTCATCTCTTTCCTACAAATCAAAATTTATGTTCCGTTAGTGCGTTTAATATCTTTCGTCCGAACAATTGTCGTTAATCAGTTCAGTGTATATCATTCAGTTCATATAACTCCATGAAGCGCTCTTCTCCAGTTAAATAAGCATAGTATTGCATGATAAAAGCTTAGGCAATAATGAGTTAGACAAAGAGAGCAGGTAAAACACACAACAATTTCAGCTGAGACGTTTGTGAGTAAACATCACTGACTTGTATTTCACATAGCGAAAACAATCATTAAGACAAATAAATCAATGGTTGAGATTATATTATGTTGAATAGCATCATATGAGATTAAACTGCAAAAAACATTTAATTATTCACTGGGTAACTTAAACATGCAATGACAATCAAAGTTAGTAATGTGTTCAAAACAGAAAGTCATGATTTAGCAGAGAGTTAGATGAACAACTGTTACTCAGAAAGAGAGTACAAATTTAATGTTTGAATTAAATGAAAATATGTCAGTTTGAATTAATTATCAGTTCATCTGTCAAAATAGTTGGCAAAGGTGGTCGCAGTTTCAGACCACTTCTCTTCAGAAATCTAAAAAACACAACAGAACATTTTGAAATCTTCAGTGAAGGATTCAGTGCACGCTGTTGCTAAAACAGAAATGCACAAATGAATATCGCACTTTTGCTTGCTGAATAAAGCTCACTCTAAGTTTGATTGTTTGGCTCTTGGCAAAATAGTAAGACAGCTAATGTGGTTATTCCATGAATCGTTACTTTCCCTTGATTTCACTTAATCAGCGCTTACTAATTTTAGCTTTTCTTTTTTTTAATTCATATGTGGCTACCAGACATAGCTCAACTGCTCAACTCATTCCTTCGAAGTGTGTGTGAAGCACAATAGACGAAGAATTAACTCAAGGGGATATATACACAAATGATTTCGTCAAACCCTTCATTGATTGTCAGTTCATAATTCAATGTGACATATTCATATCAGATATTAAAACTAGTATACTTGACACTGGGCTGCATCTCAAAACTTGGAAATGCCTTCATAGATGAAGTCAATCAGCGTTTAAACCAACACACAATGTAGCCTCGTATTTCATTGAATTGAAAGTGCTGCTTCCTGGAAAAAAGTTGATTTTATTCTGTTGAATTTCAGGTTGGCCCAACGTCATGTTCCAGATGGAAGGAGTAAATAAACTACTGGTCAATCTGATACATGTCTTGCACTGTCCCTATTAAGGCTGAGTTATTCCTGGTCAAATGTTGAGCACACGGATTTATTCATATCTCAAGTGAAATGCTAAAATATTGTGATAACTGCATAGCATCCAATTGTATGATTAGAGATTTATAGCCTAATTAAGGAACACTGAAACTACAATTATTAAATGTATGATCAACCTACCGTAATAGATTCTCTAATCATTGCGGCATGTTATTTCTGGAAATGAGGAAACGATAAATGCTTAAAGTAAAATCCTATAGAAGAAAATTTGACGAGTGTCGAACATGTACAACACTACTTGGTAAAGATCTTCCAAGCACTCAATGAAGGCTTACAACAATTCAGTCATATAACTTCTTGTTTACCCATTTGTCACTTCTCATAATTTGGCGACACTGGAGATTTACCGTAGTGACCCTCAGTCATTTTGTGTACAAACATATATATGTATATATAGATATTGTTTCACTTCAGGAATGAGTTTGAGACGAGAATTTTGATTCGTTGGATGGCGAAATAACCAGTTCTTGTTCATATAACGAATAATCTGAAGATTAGACAGTTGGGTAACTACGCATGCAAAAGTCAGTTTATTGAAACTATTTCAATATAGAAAAATCCCCATTTAAACATTTAGGAAACAGAACGATAGAGCGAACAAATATTTACTTTTCAATTAGATCCTCATCTCAGTCGAATCACTGTATTCAGAAAAATAATGGGATTAATTTCCCGCTACACTGGTAGCTAGATACCTGTTGCTGTTTCTCTGTTTCTTGTTTCGGCGCATGTGCTTCTTGACTTTCATTGAAGTCTGAATTGAACTAATTGCTAATTTCCCAATTTCCTTAATTGTTTTACGTAATAATTTCGTTTTAAATTACTGTATCCTCTCAACCTCTTTATCACATTGTTAATAAATTAATTCTGGTTCTTAGGTCACCAACTATCCCGTTTTCATTTTTCTTATTCTGCTGTTATACCTACTGAGTTAAAATACTTCCTGAATTATTCCATCTTCTTCGATTCATTATAACTTATGCCCTATCTAGGTTGTTAGCAGTAAAATAAAACTGACTAAATCCCACAAATTTGTTTATTCTTGCTTTTTTCAATGTCAAATATGCGGTAGATAATTGCTCGTACTCGTACATTACTGATAAGATGTAAGATTCAGAATTTTCCCACACGGGTTATTATCCATGACAAGTTAACTAGGCTTAATAATTTCCGTGTTTTCAACTGTTTATGTGAGTTTGTTGGCTTCAACTACATGGTATGGTGTTTCCACATCTACTGCATCGCATATAATTATATGTTTTAATTTAGAGCATACTGGTATTATTCCTCAGATTTTGGAGGGACTCTCTCTGGTTTCACCGGTTTTACTCTATCCACCATGTGTATTTTAAGTTCATCAGCACTAGCCATTTCAGTTTGACTGGTCGCTTATTTTCTTCCAGTCATAATATTCTGATTTTGGATTGTTGACTCTGAAGGTGAGTTCTTCCATTTTAGCCCACTTGAGCTTACTTCTGTTTATTCTTACTTCTGATCATTCGCTTTGATCCGTCAAATGGTTGATGGGAAATCGTCTTTCCTCATGATATGATTTGCAAATTAATATGGAATTACGCACTACCATGAAGTGATGGTTTTGTAAACATATTAATAAGTATTATGTACGTTTTGGGATGAACGCATCAAGAAGAAAAGACATATTTCTGGATGGAACTTACGTTTTCCGTCGGCAAGTTTAATTACACCTACGATGAGGGACGAATTTGGAACCAGAATGAAAGAGAAATTTTTTCTATTGAATAACCTACAATCACTCAATGGTCTTAGTTCTTAAATAACATGTTGAGTGAAAAAAATTATTATTACTATTGATAACAGCCCATGGATTCGTTGTTTGTAACCTTTCGAATGTTTCGACAATTGAAAATTTAATATTTACCGGAAGCGATGAGCAACACGCTTGTAAGTATCTCATCGCACATAAACTTCCTTTATCAATAGTTATCGAAATGAAAAAAATGATGGTTTAATTAAAATGCACAAAACTATGGGGTTAAAAATGATGATTAAATCACGCTGAATCAGTCGCATGCATCCAAAATTATGTGTACCTTATTTTTCCCTACTCCGGTCGAACTGATCTACTGTAATAGAGCAATAGCTAGCTCTTTGTAAAATTAGGCCATCGCCGTCTGTGAACATGCAACTTATTAAACCACTTAACGTACCTTGGTAATCCATACCCCATTATTTAGTTAGTTACACAGGCTTTTAACTTGTACTACATGCAGAAAAGTAAATGAAAGTTTGATGTCTGTAGGCATTCTCCTTATCATCCGCATCCATCTTTTCATTAATTTATGTGTTATTTAACTTCTGACTAGTACGTGCTTTAATAAATTCTCTAGGATTTATCAGAAGGCTTTACATCATTTAATTTGGTGGCTGCAATTACTTCAAGTGAGCCTTCATATGGTTTGGAACATATGGATACGCGTTCAGCCTTACATCTCAACCACTTAACAGTAATGCTGACAAATGAGTAGGACCATTACAAGCAGCAGTTATTTTTTAGTTACCTTCATGATTCGAGCTGGGCACAAAGATAGGAGACTGGGAGTAGGTATTTTCTTTCTTTTGTTTTCCCTCACGTTCCTAGTGCAACATAGGGCCTCAAGCTAGTGGCTTGAAGTTTCTGTAGCAGTGTTTCTTTTTTAGAGGATTGTGTTGTTAGCCTCATGCCTAACCTTTCCTTTTTAACAGCAATATTTCTGGCTTAGCGTGGCAAAGGAGTGAGTCGGCCAGGGATCTAACCCCGGAACATGTGCATGGTGGGCGAGCGTCAGAACCGCTGTGACACCGACGCACATAGTAGTATATATTAATCCCGAGAAATCAGTGACAAATGACAATTTTCAAAACGAAACATTGTATTTTAATTCCATACTCAGGCCGGATTGTATCACACAATTTACCACCAATATTTCGACTGCATCCTAGTCAGTGAATATGATTATTTCATGAATATTTCAATCCTGATGCACGCTAGAAACTGAACGACATTGGCAGACATTTCGATTAACTAACTCATTAGTACTGACAATTTATTTTTAGATGCTGAAAGGGATAATACAACTGTCTGCGTGGAACAGTGCGCCTTCGAATATGTATCTACTATGGGTCATTTTCTCCTTTCATTTACAGCTCCACTACTTCATTTTTAATCAGCTGATTTTTGGTGTAACCATTAAACTAACTCATAAGTATTATTCTTTTTTCTGCCTATTCCTCAATTTATAACGTCTTGCATTTTTCAGTAATAAAGTGTGTTTGTCAGTTCCTGAGAGTTAAACTCATCGAGTAACCGTTGGTAGTATTTCTAGAGGTCAGTGCCTAATTAATTTTTGGTAACACTTATGATCAAAGGAAGGGAGGATAATGTATCATTACTCTCTCCCTTGTTTCACTAGTTATTGGTTAACTAACTACATCATAGACATAAAAAACAAAATACGACCATTAACTCTCGTTCGTAGAAAATGTTACGATATTATGTAGAAACTCTTTCTAACTTCTTTCTTGGTGTCCTGCCTAAATTTCAACATTTTCACTTTATTTCCTTTGCTATAACTGTGATTTATGGAATTAAGTGAAAGTGATTGCATCATGTCTACTAATCGCACTATTTTATATATTCTATTGGAACCGTAGTGATCCTTATTTTCATATGAATTATACTGACAAGTAGATGTGGGCTGACATTCTAAAAAGTGTATTTATAATTATTTCTCATTACGTCTTATTTCATCATGTGAAATGTAGTTCACCTAGTAATAGACTATGAGAAACTCCAAACACAGGGGATGGCTTTCACCAGAAGAAAACATACATAATTTAAACAGAATTCATTTGATTCGAAAATGTAGCATTGAAGATAGGGAATCACGAAAAGCAGCAGATGTAGGTTAAGAAAATTATCTAATGCAAGTGACTTTTAAAATAAAGTTGAAAGCCTCCAAGGAAGCCGACACAGTCTCCAAAAGCACGAGGTAAAAGTTGGATAATTTAAGCAACATAATGAAGGGAAAGTTCTTGGAAGAACACTGGAAATCTCTGAAAGTTATGTGAAAGAATTCTACATTATCTTATTGGTATAGAAAGAAGAAGCAAAACAGACAGTGGCCCTTTACAAAAAAAGTGAAAGCCAGTGAGAAATAAGGATGATGAGATAGAAGATGGGCCGATGCAAAGATGAAAACCTGGAGGAGGAACTGAGCTCAATGTACAACCCACTGGACAAGTGCAGTGAAGAAGTGCATCAAGAAAGACAACAGTCAATTCTCCAACACACTGGCAAATGAAGCAGAACAGGCTGTAAGTAAGAACGACATCAGAACATTATATCAGATAATGAGGTCGCGATATTGGACGAAATCAACACAAATAGAACCAGTTAAAATAGTGAATGGCACGCAATAACCAAAGAGCAGGAATGGGAGAAAAGCTAAGCTGACCGCATTGATCGGCATTAATCGACTGTTGAATATACCATCATCTGTATCTCATCAAGATTTACCTCAAGCACTGAATGGCACGACACCAAACACTGGTCATTCATGGAAAGCAGAAGTTTTGAATGCCATAAATCTACCGAAATCCAGTAAAGCAGATTTACTGAGATTGATTCTCTCGAAAGCATTAAAAGTGGACCCAGATACCTCAGCAGACATACTGACAGCACAATTTGTAAGGGTGGGAGAAGAAAACAAGCTATGTATGAACTGAAAGAAAATTATGATTGTCGAACTCCAAGGGGTAGAGAATTTAATATTTTACAAGAAATGGAGTCGAATCATGCTTCTGTCTACACCAAACAAACTTTAAATTTGCGAAGTCTTGGAGGAGATAAAGGGTGTTCTGGATGAAAAGATTCACCCCAAATTAGCTGGTTGCAGTCAAATACGGATGGATCAAATTGCAATGATACACATTATCACTTGATAGAACACAGAATAGTCGGTAACTTTCTACCTCCATTTTCATCTCCTTTAAAAAGCGTACTTTTTTACTGTCAAGTGTAAACTATTTAGGAGGTGGTCTCAATACTATGAACGTATTACCAACTACATGAGACGTATCTGTGATTTTAAGATTTTGATTGCTCCTGTTGCCTAAATTTGAAAAGAATATTTTGTGAAATCTAGTTTCATGATGATTCAACTACGTAAAAGCCATCATTTACTGAATTAGCACTGTTAACTTCTATTCATTTTATAAGCCACTTAAGAACAGCTTCACAGTCTAAAAGTTCGTATGTTCACAATGAAAAATAACAGTGACGAAATTGTTGCACTGTAAGAGCAGGTAAGTACGATAAACATTCTGCAACATGTAAGATGATATAATATTTCAAGTAGTTTTCGTCGATGAAACTTTTCCTATGCTCGAGAGAAAGCAGCTCAAATTTCTAACTTTTGATGATAATTATTCATTCGACTTTAGCTGTCGACATAACTTGTGGTGAGAAAATATTTATGAGAAAAGGGGAACTACGGTGATTTTCTTTTCACTTGAATATAGCCCAAGAGTGAAAAGTCTAACACACGTTGCTCAATAACGTGTGAGTTTAAGCATAATTAAGAAGCACACAAAACCATCTTCTGAGATGGAAAGAAGTGTAATTATGTAGGATATTAATTCATCTATTTTCATGTTGTATCCACTTTCGCGGAATTTTTGATAATGTGAAAACATGAACACTCTCATAGTAACCACAAAGGTACTGTTATTTGCAGAAAGCTTTGTTAAAGCGGCCAGCAAACAAGTAAGCCGATAATATTACTGTTTACTGTTTGATGGTTGATGTGTCGTTTACACGAAGGAATGAATGATGAATATCTTGTGGGATCAAACTTACTTGTTGCACTGGTAGCTGTTTCGATGAGTGAATTTCGAAAAAAATACTTTTTGAATTTATCTGTCATACACCATTTATTAGAGAAAACTATAATGGCAAAGTTATTAACATACCTTGAAAACTTCTCCCAAGACGTTTCTCTGTTATTTAAGTGAAGTTAAACATCTGTTCCTCAATCACCATACTTTTTTAACATTTGATTGTGATCATTTGATGAGATGTTCAGCAGCATTCTTAACTTGTTTTATTTCAGTTTGAAAGATGTTGTGGCGCGAACACTGCACGTGCTTAACTCGTGAATATCTACCTGTATTGTAGCGAATAGAAAAATAACTTAGGTCTGTTTACTAGTTGTGGCCTGCAAATATACTGTCTTGGAATTATGTTCACACGTATGGCATCACAACATCCAACGGCTTCAATCAACGCCATCTCCATTTTCCTATTTTTAAAAAGTGAGTTTTCTGCATAAATCAAACTTAATATCATCAACCAGTTGGGTGACACTCCCATCAGGACACCACTCAGAATCCTAGACAGTTTTACTAAATATCTTCTGGTTGATGTATCAAGATAGGTAAAACTAACTAGTTAACCAGGTTCACTCAACTCAGTTAAGTGGTTAAAAATTTAGCCATATATGTGGTCTTGATGTTCCGGGAATTTATTCAACATTCCAAGGTAAAATGGAATAAGTAATGTTATTATTGATAACAGCCCAAGAATTGGTTGTTTGTAACCTTCTGCATGTTTCGACAACTTAAAATATCAAATTCACTTCAAGCGAGGTGAGGTATAGTCTACAGTGAAACTACGAAGAATAAAATTCCCAGAGGGATACTTTGAAGTTTTGATATAGTCAGACAAAAACTTCTGACTTCTCGTTCTAAATGTGTGAGGCCAGAAAACACACAGGTATTTCGAGTGACCAAACTTCGAGTTTTGTTTTAGGCGAAATTAATTTATGAGAATGTAATTATTTTGTTAAGTATGTCAGCTATCAATATAACTGATTGTTTTAATGATGATTCTCAATGTAGTATCGCTTGCTGAATTGGATGAGAAATCCGCAAAGAAGAAAATATGTAGGAGAATGTCTGGCGCATGGTTGTGTTAAGAAAATAATTTAGCTGTATAAGTTATTTATTCTTTGTGGATAAACCACACCTCACACATCGTAGAGATTGTAAGATATAGTTTTTTGGTAATTTTTTTAAAGAATATCAGTCACTTCCATCGCGAAAAGAACGGAATTATCTGTGTTATCTAACTTTATTGAAATCATGATTGTTTGGGCACTTTGTTATTCTTCAAGGTAATTTTTGGCATATGGTGGTCTTCACACTGCTTATACACAGTTTGAGTGAGTATCGAGTGTGACACAAATGGGAGTGGATGCGCTGAGGCCCCGAAGTAACATGGAGGCAACATGTGAAGAAGGAATGAATAATCGTCGATACGTATAGAACCAATTAAATATGAATGCGTGATATCGAGTGCGACGGAGATATGTCACTAAAGTTCCATATCCCACCATGGCAAAGGGATTAAAACAATAATGATAATATTAGTCTTTCTATAAGGCCATTTGATGTTGAGGAGTAGCTATTTATCAAAAAATAAAATAAAATTTCATATAATAAATGAAAAATTTTTATCTGTTGCTAGGTTGGTAAATGTGCTCATATTCATATTCGAAAGCAAAGGTTGATCTAGTGATATGTGCTTCATCACCTCTGAGACTCATCGATTCAATGTTTGAAACAGGACTAAAAGCATTTTCTGCGACAGCGAGTATAGGGACAGTTTCCGTCTAACTTGCTCTAATATTTAGTGGAATACTCCACTTCTAAGTGTTTTGAATGGCATAACGCAAACTTTTACACTGAATTATGTTTCAGCGCTGAATTCCATACGGCTACAAAGATCAATCTGACAGGATATCTTTTGTGTAAGTCTCATGATACCGTCTGACTTTGACTTTTTTGTTATCACGTCTATTTTATTGCAAAAAAATAATTGTAGTTGACGTTTGAATATATTGGAATATATTGCAGTGCTGATCTCATCTGTATAACATAAATATGTAGTTAAAACATTAAAGCGTTTAAAAAAATGAAATACTTTACTCACTCGTCTCAAGTTTTGGCTTTACTGTATCATAAATAGAGAGAAACATGAAAAGTGGGGTTACAATCAACGATTCATTTTAGTTCTGACAGAAACGTAATAGCCTCAAGTGGGTATTTAGAAAAAAACAGTGTATTTCTATTAGAGTCCCAGACATTTGTAGAAAGTTTCGAACGAGGTAATCAGGTGGCTAAGAACTTGAGGAAGTAACAAAAGTTACTGGTGGTTGAATGGCATTTTTTGACGTAAGTGGTAGCCAAATTTAAATGATGTTTTCCTCAGCAGTTAACCAATACTAATTGAAAGTGAAAAGCTGACGGAGTGGTCTACAAAATAAAGGCATTTATTATGCACACTACCTGACTGTATCAATGACCTACTGGAAATCTGATCAGGTCAAAAAATGTCACGCAAAGTATACAAACAAAAAGTATTATACATTCTGTAAGTCGACTTCAATACACGCATAGTCATTTTAAACTGCAGATAAATAAACCACTGAATTCCTATGAAGTTCACTCAAATGCACATTGTTATTTGAGGTATTTCAATAGATTATTTGGAGGTGACATCACTGAACACATTACTTTATACCATTTTAAACTCAAGCCAACCCCAGTCAGCAGAATTAACATTGACTTACATTCTCGTGCTACATTAATATAGTACACTAAGAAAACCGGTAGAAAGAGATTTCCACACTTGTTGAGAAAGCAATGTTCAATATGTTTTGTGTTCTCATTATCGGAATAGCAAAACGACGGAATTTCATTCATTCAGAAATTTTAAATATTCTGGGTTAATATGGTTTATTCTAATTAAAACATACTGAAAGGCAAATGAATTGCCAAGGCCATATCAAATTTCACCGTAAATATGTTTGCGAATGAATACTGTTACTAACATTTCTATGCGTCATGAATAATCGGTTCACATATAAATGTGACTAGATATATTGAGAATAACTCCTAGTGCTCATTTCATGTTTTCGAAGTGATTTGCTACATATGTGGACCTTGTGATATTTTGTGTTCCAGAGTAGATTGAAAAATAGAAACATACTTAAGGCTTCTATATGAATCCAAAATATTGAAATTGACAAAATTGAAGGATAATTCATCTTAAGGAGAACGAAGGACTACATTAACATTGAGCAAAGACCATTACCGCGATGAAATATACTCAGAAATATCACTTCCGAGTGACTTGTGGAATAAAATGCGCCTTTCAGTGTAAATGGATTAGTTCATATGGCATAGCAGTTATCCTGTATGACAGTAAGACTAAGAGAAATAATGTGCAGGTTTCTGGAGGTATTCACAAGTCTTTTCAGTCAGGTTGTAGATATTTCTGCCACGTTAGATGGAGGTGACGAATTCGAAACCTGGTGAGTTGATTGGTGATGAATATTGTGTATGTAGAAGGAAGTGGTTATTTGGTTGTTTGCTACTTTCAGTGGCTATCGAATTGGTGTTATTTTGTGATGAATCATACTGTTGAAATGAGTAAATTTATAAAGCGTATATTTCAGTGTGTTAATGTAAATAGTATTTGACAAAAATCTTAGACAAAGTTGTTTCCAAGAGTAGAAAATCAACTTGAATTCATTCAAAGATTTTAAATATTCTGGGTTAACGTGGTTTATTCTAATTAAAGCACACTGAAAGGCAAATGAATTTTAAAAGAGAAATATTTAAACCATGAATACATGATAGAAACTGCCGTTGAATTAATATCATGCAGAAGACAAAAACAATTTTACTCGTCAATAAGCATTGCGAATGTATTCATCGGTAGTGTAATTCTTTAGGTTCAGGTGGAAACGCAATGTAATACACTGTGTTCAAAACACAGTGTCAGCTTTACCAAATGCAAGCTGAAACAGAACACAACTTTCGGCTAAACCAGAAATGTTGCGAATGTTATATCAAATTTCACTATAAATGAATTCTGTTACTAACAATATCGTTTTGTTTTTCATTCATTAGGAAATACAATATCCTATATTATAGTGACTGTTACTAACATTTCTATGCATCATGCATAATTGGTTCGCATATAATTGTGACTAGATATATTGAGAAATTTTTCTGTTCCATAGCGGTTAGGACGCTCGCCGACCATTCATATGGTCCGAGGTTCGATCCCCGGCCACCGACGCATTCCTTCCCTCACTAAGCCAAAAATAAAGCAGGTAAAGAGGAAAGATTGTGCATGAGGCTAGCAACTCCATTCTGTAAAATAAACACTGCTACAAAACCTTCAAGCCACTAGCTTGAAGCCCTACGTTCCACTGGGGAACGTGAAGAGAAAAGAAAATGTGTCAATTTTGTTTTGATAAAATCTCACAGTGTTATACAGTAATGTTTACCGATCAGTAAACATTACTGTATAACACTGTGAAACTTTATCAAAACAAAATTTACCCATAATGGATTTACACTCTACCAGAGTGCACAAGTTTCATTCTTATATCAGTCGTCTGTATTACACAGGAGAAAGTAAAACTGCAATGAGAGGTTCATAATGAAATAACGAATGTGTGAAGTGAAACACTTGGAGGCATTTATTGAGAAAAGAGATGGTAACACAAATAACACAAATATTGAGAATAACCCTTAGTACTCATTTCATGTTTTTTAAGTGATTTGCTATGTATGTGGACCTTATGATATTTTGTGTTCCACAATAGATTGAAAAATGGAAATATACCTTTGTCTTTCAAATGAATTCAAAGTATGACAAACAATAAGAGGCATAGACGCCATTACCACAATGAAATATACTCCGAAAAATGACTTTGAACTGAGATGTAAAATAAATTGTGCCTTTAAGCATAAACGGATAACTTCATACGGTACAACATTTATCCTGTTATGATATCGATAGAAAAAACTGTTTAGGCAATTCAAGAAGACGTAGTCTCTTCAGTCATTTGGGTACGTTTGCCACTTCAACAAACAGTATGATGTGTAGAAATTGACTTACTTATGCCAGTATCTCTTGAAGGTGAGACTTCATTTTTAAATAAAATATCATGTTTTAAGTTCGATCATGAAGTCCACTTGATAAATGATGAACAATCAGTAGTTATGATACGAAATTACATTCTTTAGTTACACAGGCTTTTAACTTGTACTACATGCAGAAAAGTAAATGAAAGTTTGATGTCTGTAGGCATTCTCCTTATCATCCGCATCCATCTTTTCATTAATTTATGTGTTATTTAACTTCTGACTAGTACGTGCTTTAATAAATTCTCTAGGATTTATCAGAAGGCTTTACATCATTTAATTTGGTGGCTGCAATTACTTCAAGTGAGCCTTCATATGGTTTGGAACATATGGATACGCGTTCAGCCTTACATCTCAACCACTTAACAGTAATGCTGACAAATGAGTAGGACCATTACAAGCAGCAGTTATTTTTTAGTTACCTTCATGATTCGAGCTGGGCACAAAGATAGGAGACTGGGAGTAGGTATTTTCTTTCTTTTGTTTTCCCTCACGTTCCTAGTGCAACATAGGGCCTCAAGCTAGTGGCTTGAAGTTTCTGTAGCAGTGTTTCTTTTTTAGAGGATTGTGTTGTAGCCTCATGCCTAACCTTTCCTTTTTAACAGCAATATTTCTGGCTTAGCGTGGCAAAGGAGTGAGTCGGCCAGGGATCTAACCCCGGAACATGTGCATGGTGGGCGAGCGTCAGAACCGCTGTGACACCGACGCACATAGCAGTACATATTAATCCCGAGAAATCAGTGACAAATGACAATTTTCAAAACGAAACATTGTATTTTAATTCCATACTCAGGCCGGATTGTATCACACAATTTACCACCAAAATTTCGACTGCATCCTAGTCAGTAAATATGATTATTTCATGAATATTTCAATCCTGATGCAAACTAGAAACTGAATGACATTGGTGGACAATTCGATTAACTGACTGATTAGTATTGACAATTTATTTTTTAGATGCTGAAAGGGATAATACAACTATCTGCGTGGAACAGTGCGCCTTCGAATATGTATCTACTACGGGTCATTTTCTCCTTTTATTTAGAACTCCACTACTTCATTTTTAAACAGCTGATTTTCAGTGTCACCAATAAACTAACTCACAAGTATTATTCTTCACTCTGGCTTTTCCTCAATTAATAACATTTGGAAATTTTCAGTAATTAAGTATGTTTGTCAGTTCCTGAGACTTTAACTCATCGGCTGACTGCTGGTAGTATTTCTAGAGGTGGGCACCTAATTAATCCCTGGTAATACCTATGGTCATCAGAAGGGAGGATAATGCATTATTACTGACTCCCTTGTTCCACTGATTTACTAACTACATGGTAGACATAAAAAACAATATACGATTGCAAAAACGTGTTCGCAGAAAGACATAACGATTTTAAGTAGAAACTTTTCCATCTTCTTTCTTGGTGTCCTGTCTAAATTTCGAAATGTTCGCTTTATTTCCTAAGCCATAACTATGGTTCATGGGATTAAGTGAGAGCAATTACATCACTTCTACTAGCCACACTATTTCAGATATTTTATTTGAAACATCAACAGCATATTGAAGCACAAGGATATACAAAAATGTACATGGGTATCGACAGATGGCTGAATCAAAAATCAAATTGACTTCATCTCAATGCTCCTCAAAAGAGTGGACTGAGCTGAAGGACAAAATGCACATTTAAGCGTGAACTGATTGCTTCATACGGTACAACAGTTATCATGTAGGCGTCAGTGAAATAATGTCCAATTTCATAGGCACATTCTGAAGTTGTTTCAGTCAGGTTGCAGATATGTTTACCTCGTACAATAAAGGTGATGGATTCGAAACATGGTGAGTTGATTGGTGATGAATAGTGTGTATACATAAGGATGCAATTACCTGGTTGTTTGATATTTTCAGTGGCTATCGAATGACAGTAGTTTTGTAACAAATCATAGTGTTTAGATGAATCGCTAAGTAAAAGGTATATAACAGCGTTTGTGGGTTTTTACTATTTGACAGATATCGTTTGGAGTAATTGCAATCATAGTTAATTTACGCCAAAAATTCATGGTCACAATCTCACAGATGAACAATTGAAATGTCTCAGGGATGAAACTGATGATTTACTTGCCACAGGTTGTCAAAGAGCAGTAATGCGTGTCCACATTGCATCGACAAGTACACAAGTTGGATTGATGAATGAAAACGGAGAACTCTTCGCTGATTTCTGCTCATTCAATTAACTAGTGACTGGTGGCAGTGTATACAAACATAAAGATATCCACAAAGCTACATGGGTGTCAACAGACGGGCGAACCAACAGCCAAATTGACTTCATCTCAATGCTGCTCAATGAAGTGGAGACGTAGCTTATTTGACACAAAAGAAAGAAGAGGGGCATACTTCGGCTCAGACCAGTGTCTCATGCAGGGAACACTTCAAATCAAGTTAAAACTTTCAAGGAAACCGGAGTTGTGGATAGTCTACAAGCCAAGTTCAATATTCAAAAACTGAATGATCAGATCACAAAGCACATTTTCACTGCTATCATAAGGAAAATGTCTGAGACACAAATCAACACTAGCGAAGAGATCAGCGTTGAAATGCACTGAAACAGCCTCAAAGCGGTGTGGGGTCTAACGTACATGGACTTTCTAGACAGAAAGAAGAGACAGGACAAACGGTGGCTCAGTAAGGACATATGGAGACTAACAGAAGAGGAAGGATGGTGAAACAGAAGACTATCCAGTGTATCGACGAGCAACAAAAACAGGAGTTG